CACTGCTGTCCCCACCACAACGCGCCCGCCTCAAAGATGGACGAACAGACCAAACAGAGTCTGCTCGCCAACGGTTTCGTCGCGCTGCTGGTCACTGGAGGCTTCTTGAGCTCTCAGCTCTTGCTTCCCAAACGAGCTTCCGCAAAGACGCGCTTCATCTTTACCTGGCTCGCTTTTGATGCGCTGTGTCACTCCATCATCGAAGGCAGCTTCTTGTACTACTCCACCTTTGGCAGGAGCATCAACACCAGTCAAGGCTTCCTCGCTTATTTATGGAAAGACTGTGAGCACAAGGGGCTGTGATGGGCTCCGTAACTGTGCGACTGACGCTCCTCGCTTGCTCGCTACCGCTGCCTCTTTCATCTCAGACGCTCGCGCAGACAAGCGATGGGGCTGGTCCGACCCCACCGTCGTCAGTCTGGAGATTTGTGAGTGCCGCGTGTCGCATGGACAGTCTGCCATGGCCTGTCAGTCAACATCTGTTGCAAATGCCTCAACTGACCAATTCACCCCTCCGCACCACCCTACGCTGCCTCAGTGACGGTTCTCGGCGCAGGACCTCTGGCAGCGTACTGCTGTTATCTGCTCTTGACCGACGTGGCCGCTTATCACTACTGGGCCGTAGTGCTCAGCACTGCAGAGCTGTATGGAGGCTTCGTGAGTACACTTCCTCAGGTGATGCAACAAGCAAAGCCCCTCGTCAAATCCACGTTTACGTCATACTTACACCCTTTGTCGCGCTTCAGATGACCTTCTGTCCTGAATGGCTCACTCAGAACAAGGTGGGTGGCCGGATATGGCGCCGTCGTCGTAACTCCCGCTTGCTTCGCTCAGCGCTAACAGTCAACGAGAGGAATTGCTGCTCACCATAGAACCTGGATGCCAGGTGAGTGGAGGCAACCTTCTCGGATTAACGACGGCCGCGCTGTGACTCATCTGCTACACCCCCCGATGCGAGTAGTGACTGGATGCTGGTGAGATGATGCAGACGTTGCCCTCAGAATGTCATCTGCCCGAAGCGCAAAAATGCTAATACCGGCTCCCTGCTTCCGTTAGTTTTATGTGTACCTGTGCTTGTGAGCCAAGTTTCCAGAGCGTCG